GCACTTATTCCACTGAGCCATCTCCCCAGCCCATTTTTTTGTTTTTTGAGATACAAGTTTTAGTCACCTATTTAGAGACAAGGTTTAGTAATCAGTGGCACTACTTTATAACCACAGTTGTTAATAAAGCACTTAAAATTACTAAAACAATAGATTCCTTAATGTACGTATAGATGAAAACATCACTTTGTACTCTATACTATACACAATTATTGCATATAAATTTAAAATAAATGAATAAAAAGTGCACATGTATAAAGTATGGATATGTTATTTGACAATTTTATAATAGCACATATATATATATAATATTTGTATGTGTAATTTTTAAAAGAACACTAAACAGTCATTAGATCATGTGGCCTTTACATGATCTAGCATATCATAAGATTATAAATAAGTATGAGTATTTTATAGATTTCTAGGCCATAGGGTAAAATTTGCATATTTTTAATTCTTCACTTTGATGTTATTAAAATGAGGAAAACCTTATTTCCTAAACCACAGATGACAGAATGAAATGTTAAGTGCATCTGTTCTTTTTTTCCAGACTTACTTTATTCCCAAAAGTGTTTTGTATGAAGCTTTTGAAAAATACTATCCTGTCATTGAGCATAAGATGTGGCTAAAAATTGGACGTGGTGTTGCTGCTAGGAAAATCAGGGAACATTTATCTTTTGAGGTAAGATATGTTTTTATAAACATCCTGCTCACTAAATAAAACTGGACGACCATACTCTCAGAAACAGACTACAGCCAGAGATTAGAGATGGCAGAGTACAAGTCAGCAGTAAATCACTTCCTTTATAGGGTCTGGAATGAGACTCTGGAAAACCATTATTTAATGAGAACAAAGAGAAGAGCTCTGGGAATCAAGACAACCCCAACAGGAAAGCTAAAAAGAGAACTAGAAGGCAACACTGAGAAAAAAAATAAAGCAGTCTGGGGTACTAACTCTGGCTCCTGGGTTACAGAGGAGAAACTGACTCTGCAAAAGCAATGTAAGCCCAAAACAAGATAAGGGGATCAGAAGCCCCAGAATAGACCAGCAGTGCTAGTCCCATGAGAAAACAGTTACATAAGTTGAAAATACAGTGTTGGATTTTGCTCTATAAAGTGATTCCCTCAGCTAGCAGGCTAGCTTTGGAAAATAAATGTGTCATATTTGATGTACATATACTTACTAGAATAGTAAGGAGCCATTCTGAGAGATGCTTATTATTTATTGGTGAACTATTCCCGAAAAAAGAAGTCAAAGAACAGCCACACTTCAGAGACTCCAGAGTCAACCAACAATAGTGACTGGGTGGCAAATGGACACAAGACAGTTGTGGTGAGGAGGCTAGTCACAGAACCCCAGGGAAGATTAAGCAAGGAGGGCCTCAGGTCGTAGAGAACAGAGTGATTGGTAGCACTGCTTTCTCTGGTAAGGAGCCAGGTCCATCGTGGGTGGGATTCTGAGAGCTCTAGGACTAAAAGCTTTGGGATTTGGCCCATGGGAGTGTATGCTCTCCTTGCTTTTTCTTTCAATCACAAAACCCAGTGGTGTAACTGCTACACACCAACATGGTGAGAGATGCCCCTCTGTTTGCAGATTTTCCAGGTCTCTGGGTATGTAGACAAGGGGGACCCTGGAATAAGAGGAGTGCTCTCAAGCCTACAGCTGCAAAGCTGCTTGGACAGCATGATCAGGACACAGAAGGGTGCAAACAAACAGTTAACAGCCGCTAGAGTGAATACAGCCTGAGGCAGTCAACATACCATTGACTAACCACACAGTGTCCACATAGCAAGAGTCTATTTCATAGATTTGGAAAATAAAAGAGGTTTTAAGTGTGATTTGCTGTCTCTCCCTCCAATGTCTGATGATTTTCAATACTGTAGGTCCTGGAAATCACCAATCCAAACACTTGAGCCTGGGAGGATTTTTTTTTTTTTTTACTCATTTCTCTTGTTTGTCTTTTGCTATTTTTCTTCTTCGTTTATTTTTCTTTCCTTGGTTGGATGGTTCTATTTTTCTTCCTTCTCTTGTGTATTTTTTTTCACATTTCTTTTATCTAATTCTTTTTATTCTTTAAATTTACTTTGATTGGATTTTAACTTGATTTTCTGTACTCCTTTTCAATTTATCTTGTTCTATTTTTCTCAAATTTTACTAATTGCTAAATTTTGCTCTCCTATGCTCTTCACTTTTATTATCATTACTATTAACTTTTATTTATTTTTGCCCCTCATTTTATTCTATTTTATTTTTTAATTTAATTTAATTTTTTATTTTGAAAAGTAAAAACAAAAGCAAGAACAAAAATCAGAAACAAAGATAGAAGCATGGTAACGTACAAGAGTACATTTGTCACAGATTTTCAGAACAAGAATAGTTGATTAGTAATGCTTGGTATATTATCGATTTTTATTGTCAAATCTGTTGCTCAGATTAACAGATATAGTTATGTAAAATTGAACATATGATTACATATTACCACTTGTTTCCAAGAAACTTTAAATTTTTGTTCTTTCTCTCTTTTTTCTTTTTTAACCTTTTTACAATTTTACTTAAAGACAATATAGTAATAATTAATGTCACATTAGAAACACTACACATGAGTTAACACACCTATAATATTCAAATAACAGAACTTAACAAAAAAAGGGGGATACAGATGAATGGCCATTTTGTATCTGTGTATTCAAAATGCTTAAGATAGATACACAGTTACATTCTCTTAATGAATAGAGGGATTTGTTCTAATAGTGTTTGTAAATAGGATATCAAGTCCACATCTTGTACAGCAATTAACCACTAGGGAGAATGTATGCAATGTGTTAATTATTGAAACTGTCCTACCAAATAAAAAAATAAAACTCTTTCAGCCAGTTAAAAATAAATAAATAAATAAATAAATAAAGAGTTCACCTATTAAAAAAATAAAGAAACATTACACATTTAGAAGACCAAGATGGCAAGTATTTAAGCATGGTTATTGTATTACACATAGCTGTCTTTGATGTATTTGTTTAGATCACAGACATCAGCATATAAAGTTAGTCATGTGAAAATTCTACACATTGACTGTTATTTCAAAAAACTGACAGAAATTTTTAGTACAATCACATCAGCCAACCTGTATATCCTATGTATATACTTGCATGTCTTTCCCCTGTCCTTTTTCCTATCTGGTTTCTTTTCAGAAAGGAAAAGATTATAGTCACCTTTTCCTCTATTTTATTATTGCTGATTTCTTCTCTGCTATTAATAGTGAAAAAACTATTAATAGTGATAAAACTTTTGCTTTTTGCTATATGTCAATATCTGATTTATCTTTATGTCTTTGACATTACTGTGATGAGATTTCTCCTCTCTGATTTGTGCTGGGGATCAACCCCAAAAGAAAGTTGAACACTAAGACCCTCAAAACTAGAAGATATATATATCACAACAGATATGCAGTTCTCACTATAGAAACGCATGAAATACAAAGGTTCATGTGTTTTTGGACCTGGAGCACTCTGAAGAGCACTTGCCTGGAAAACCTTGACAGAAATCAAGCCCAGGCAGCCCTGTGAGCTCCCATTCTGAGTTTAAAATCACTCAGGGAGGCTACGAGGACGATGGAGGAATGGTGATCAGCGGAGAAAGAGCCTCGCAGATTATATACAAGATGCTAGAATATTAGAACTAGAGGAAAAGAAGGAGGAAAGTATGTCCCAGGAACCCTGCAAGGATGTGAAACAAGAATTGCACCAGTCAGAGAGCTCAGTAGACTAAAGCACCTGCATAGGCAGAGCCCAGTGGACAGGGTTTGATCCCCAGCATGCGGTGCCAGCCCCACCCCAGGGGTGCACTGAGACAGCAATTGAGACTGGGTGTGGTGGAGTGCATCTATAATCCCAGTGCTTGGGAGGCTAGAAACAGGAGGACCTTTATGAGTCCAATTTACTTAGTGAGACCCTGTAGACCCTGTACTAAATACATAAAAAAGAAAGAAAGAATTGAAGCCCACAGGAGAGTGAAGAGAGAGACTTCAAGCAGTAGAAGAAGGTGAAATGCAGCACTTTCTCCCAGAGCCCTGACTCCCTGCCTGGGAAGGGAAGCTCATACCTGCAGATGCACAGTGACCAGTGGCAACTCCAGAGACCACCACCGACAAACACACCAGTAGAAAAGAATGCTGGATGCAGTGAACTACAGTAGATGATAAGGTATTTTGGTTTAGATGTCCCTAAGGAGAAGTTGATTAGCTGGTAAAGATCTTGGAAGGGACCAGCTGAACTCAGAACTCAGAGCAGCTCAAGGCTGGCTATATCTGACAACTCGCAGTGTCAGGTGAAGCAGAACTGAGTTCAAGTTAAGAGCAAGTCTTAAGAGCTACAGTAACAAGAGATTGAATAAGATTGATGAAAAAAGCAAGAAATTGCACAAATGACATAAAAAAATTCATAGAAGTAATAACAGAAAACTTCCCAAGGATGGGGAAAAAATGACATACAAATAAGGCATATGACCTCCAATTAACCATGATTTAAAAAAATCTACACCAATGCATATAATAGTAGAGATTCCAGAAATTCAGTGTAAAATAGAATATCAAAAACTGTTACAGAAAATAAAGAAATAACTTATAAAGGAAAGCCTATCATAATAACAGCAGACTGCAGCACGAACCTTAAAGCTAAGGAAAGTTTGGTGTGAAGTGTTTGAAGCTCTAAAAGAAACAACCTCCAGCCAAGATATATGTACCTACAAAACTATCTTTCACAACTAATAGAGAAATAAGATACTTCTATGACAGAGAACAGCTGAATAAATTCAAGACCACCAAACCAGCACTCCAAAATATTCTGAAGGACATTCAGAAAGAGATAACAAGAACTAAAACTCCATGAACCCCAACAGAATGAATCAACCAGGCAAGACAACTAATTTAACAGAGTGGAAAGACAAAAGGAACCAAGAGGAAAATAACATGGCAAGGATAACTCAATACATATCAGTTTTCACCATTAATGTATATGGTCTCAATTCACCAATCAAAAGAAACAGACTGGCAGAATTGATCAAGAAGCAAGATCCAACAATATGCTGCATACAAGAAACATATTTAATTCAAACAGAAAGTCATAAACTAAAAGTCAAAAGATGGAAAACACTACTCCATGTGACAGGAATCCCCCAAAAAAACAAGAGTAG